ACTCTTTCATTAGTTGTGATTTGACTTCAGTTAGCAGCAAGCGGGCGTGAAGCAAAATAAGATACCCGGTTGGCCTTTTTGCTTGAGAGCAGATGCATACCCACCCATTGTCACATACGAAATCAAGCATCAAAATAAGAAAAATCTATCCTTCCTAAGGCTATCCAAGTACAAAATCCTATCTAATACTAGAACAAAATACCATTACACATGAGAGAGGGGAATATAGTTTCAAAGAGAAAGAAGACAAAGAGAAGAAACAGGTCATACAGTCATAACACTCCTCTCAGGGGAGGAACCCAAGGCAGCCGCCGCAATCTCCCTCTCTTTCTTTGCACTGTCATCCCCAAACAATTCATCAATCTCCTCCAGCGACTTCCCACTCGTCTCCGGCACGAGTAGAAAAGCCCAAATCCCTGCAACAAAACACATCACAGCGAAGAAGATGTACGTCCGATACTCAATCTCGGCCAACATCGACGGCGTAATCAGCCCGATAATAAAATCCGACAGCCAAATCACACATGTCGAAAGCGCCACACCTTTCGACCGTGACGTCGTCGAAAATACCTCAGAAGGCAAGGCCCAACCTAATGGCGAATAGGAGACTCCGTATAGCAGGATGAACACAAACGCCATCGCCACACACGCCCAGCCGGCCGCCATATTGGCCTGCCAGTCTTTCGAGTACACGCCTGACAATACCGCGATGATAACATACGCTGCTGCCATCCCGAACGCACCGCCGATGGCGAGCGGCCGCCGACCGATCTTCTCAATGAGGAGGAAACAGATAACTGCTGCCACCAATTGGAGAACGTTAAAAACACCGGAGAGAATAAGCGACATCTCGGAGGATTGACCGAGAGATTCGAAGAGCGTCGGTGCGTAGTAGATGAAGGCATTGATCCCCGAGAATTGCTGGAAGAATGCGATACCGCAGCCGACGGCCGTGCGTCTCCAGGTTCCCTTTGAGAACAGATCGAACCATGACAGGATTTCGAGCTTCAGGCCCTTTGCGCCTGGATGTTTACGTTCCTGGACGATCTTTTGGAAGCGAACTTCCGAGATGATGCTATTGTATTCGATCTGGACGCGCTCGTCGGTGGCGGGGAGGTTGCGCAGTTTCGTAAGGCTGGTTAGGCATTCGGCATCGCGGTTCACGAGCGCCAGCCAGCGTGGCGAGTAGGGGAAGAAGTGGATTCCCAGGCCCAGGGCTGTGGCTGAGACCATTTGGAGGCCGAAGGGGAGGCGAAAGCAGGCTTCCCCAGCCATGTGGCGCGTTCCGAAGGTGATCCAGTAGCTATTACTACGCCTGCGGAGATGGAGATGGATTCGAGGACTAGGAGTGTGCCGCGCATATTCGGAGGAGAGACTTCGGAGATGTAGAGTGGTGCGCCCTGGTACCGGGGATATTGGGTTAGTGCTTGGTCTTCTTTCGTCTTTTGGGAGGGTGGGGAGTATGGCCTGGTTCCTAGGGCTTTGCTTACCATTGCTAAGGTGCCAACTCCAATACCACCGATGAATCTTCCGGCTACTAGCATGTCGTAGTTTACGGCAGCTGTCTGCAGAATAGCACCGATGTCGAAAGCCACCACCATAGTCGTGATCGCCCATTTTCTCGAGATGCGATCTGAAAGATATGACATGAATATACAACCGATAAAGGCACCCAGCAGCAACATTCCAGTCATCAGACCCTTCCCGAAGGAGGTCTCCGCCTTGGGAAACGCCTTATGGAACGGTTCCATCACATTGATGATGGAAATGACACCCATATCATATCCCATGGAGAACCCGCCCAGCGAGGCGAGGGTAGCCGCACCGAAGACATATTTGGAGAAAAAAAGGCCTTTGACGCCATTGGGGCCGTATGAAATTGCATCCGGATCGGCATGGGGATCTACAGTTTGATAATGAAGACCCGGTATGGCATCCTCGTCATGTTCGACTGTCGGGCCATCCTTGCGTTTGTCTAGATCGATCGAGCTCATGGTCGATGGGCAGTATATGAGGAGGCCCAAGTGTACAGTAGTACGTATATGGTATAGTATGGTACGTACAATAGGAAGAAAGAAATGAAGAATAAGAAAAATTACTCAATTAGGAGCGGCAAAGAGAGGATTGCCTGAGGATGGGGGAGGTGGCGCGTTATAGCACCGTTGCGGAGTACCTTGCCCTTTTTTCGAGTCTATCCCGAAGTTATTCGGCGTATTTATATCTACTATCGGCTATCGACAGGTGAAGCTAGTGCTACGGTCCGGCTTGATGCATGTCGGGACAAGCCTCAATTGTGACGTCGTTCCCAACACGATCATTTCCCAGACCGGGCCCTCAACGGCAAGATTTCCCACTTTCAGGGGAGGGGGAGTCTAGAGTCTTGACGTGAGATGCGGAGTGAGGCCGAAGGTCGGGGGGTCTCCACTTCTCGCAGGTCTGCCTTTTTGGCCGATCTTATAAGTTACATCAAAACCCGCGCCCACTGCATTTCGATGGATTACTACCCAATGACCGTGAGGAGAGAGGTAGGGGAGGCGGGTATGGCTGCGGCACTGTCATTCGACAGGAATACTCCTAGAACCTAGTATTCTCTGTCTCCGCTACCTATCAGTGATGGCAAGGATGTGCCCCGGGATGCCAAAACCCCAGAGTTTCTCGACCCCGGACCAATCTGGAGGTTAAGGTTAAGTTAATGCAATTTCCCCGCACCCGAGTGGCCCACGCCTTAGGGTTGTTCTGATCACGCGGGTCGCAAAACGAATCAAAACGAAGCAAAAGGCAAACGATGGATGCGGATGAACGAATGAAGAAGACTTATCCGGAGTTGCTCAGAACTCAATAGAAAGAGGAGACAAACGACGCGTCTAGTGGTTTGTGTGCACGTCCATCTTTCAACGCCACGTGATGCGCATGCGGGAAATGATGCCATTCCCATCTTCTATCTCTTTCCATGTTGGTCCGTGTGGCGGACATTATTGCCTCCCTCTGCTTTCTCAAGACGCTGAGAATTGCCGGTTTCGGTGGGAGATTTCGTACCCGGCATTGATGATGTCAGGGTGAAGTTTGCATACCTCTGCCTTACGTTACTTGGGGGAGGTATATGCATTCATTCTACATTTACACTGATTTGAGTTGGTCGGTAATCGTTTATTAAATCAACAGTTGGCTAGGGGAGTGTGGCATATTATGATAGACAATGTATAGATGCATCCATTGTGTCCACAAAGGGGGACTACAACACCATGTTCCTTGGAATCACATCGCACCAGACTCGCCACGCACTCGTGTTATTGGGTGCATAGACAGTTCATGTGTTTCTTATCATGCAACAGCGATGCAAGTGAGTCGACTATAGATTCAACGGCCGAGATAGCACCAAATTAGGAAATGAGTTACATGTCGGTAACCTGGGCTTCTTGGGCCCACCGGGAAGCCGGCGGTGGTTCATGAATCATTAGGCGACCATTCTATAACACAGTTGCATTGTGCATATGCTTTCATGCTACTAGGATACCCCTAGACTATACAAAGCAACTACGAAGCATGCTAAAGTATGGTGACAGGTTATGGAAGACCGCTGGGCAGTCCGGACCGTCGTGGACCTTTCCATTTTCATATCGGTTGAATGCATACTTCTGGCAACTATTCATGGCTACAGGATGCCACAGGGTGTCCATTATTGTGGCAACCGGCTATACAAACACAGAAGGCTGTCCCGAACTGGCGCAATTGCTAACGAGTGTTGAGGTACGGAATACCACAGAGACATAAGGCACTAAGTCTAAGGCGTACATTTACCACCCCAACGATTTCCAATAAAGTGCTGCGTACGGCACATGTGAATGATGAGAAGAAAAGCTTTTCACCCGACAACGTGGCAACCTTAATAATTCCTTCTTCCTCCAAAGCTGCCAGATGCCCGAGCGTTATCGGCTGAGACATTTTCGGCTTCTGAAAGTTGATACACCGCAGCAGGGTTACGGAGAAAGGCAATGATTGAGAGAGTTTATCTTCCCGTCCACAGGTAATGCCGCGTGGTTTCTGTATGTCTTTAGACTGATACGGCAATGATCTCGCAGCTCGCATTAGCTGATGTGAGTGTCTGGGAACTAAATATCATTCCCTTATCTGGAATGTTGAACGTGGGGAGTCCTCTACACGAGGCTGATGGTTCCCGGTTTTCATCAGATTATAGGTAATTTTATATTGTCTCCAAGTTATTACTGGGTCTGTTATAAGTAAGTAAAGGGAATCCTTCATATCTATATAAGGGGGTGTACAAAAGAGATAACAGGATAGTTAACGGCGCGTGTTGGAGAACCAATCTTTTCATAGATTAATTGGCCCTCTTGGTAGCCAAAATATATTTCTAAAATCACCATTTTAGTCGGCAATTTTCTTAAAACAAGGATACTAATCTAGAGTCTACTGCATCTGGCAATGTTGGAAAATCACGGGAGGCCCTTGATGTTCAAAAAATATAGGTCTTTTGCTGGGCAGATATCAACCTCATTCCAATTAAAATCCCTTCCTCTTTGGTAAAGCAGTTCGAGAGAGAAGGTTGCCAGACGTGCAACAGATTTTTGACTCTCGATCGCAGTGTGGTTAAATCAGTCTACAGATCACCAGAGCGGGAACCAGGACTATACTATACCTTTCTCCCATGACTCTTCTTCATTTAGCTGTGTACCATGTTTTAGGTTCGGGGATACTCTTAGATTTACTGATCAGCGAATAGAGAATACAGGCACATACTTCGAGATGCTTGTTCAGCCTTTGCATGGGCTTTATTTTTTATTGCCGCCCAGTCAGCCTTGTCCTTCGATGCGGGGCTCATGTGATGGCCTCACATACGGGGGACTAAACGCGATCTTAATGCAAGGCTGCCAAATTCAGCACTCCAGCAGCTGAGACACAACAATTCGGTCATTTGGGAGTCAGCCATTCCTAAGGGTAAGTAAGCATATAAGGCCCTTACTCTCAGGGGCCATTCTTTCGCAATGGCCACACAAGCCGATACCCTATCTAAAAGTCGCAGTGAATATACTGTAGGATGGATTTGCGCGCTTCCCAAGGAGCAGACTGCGGCAATGGCCATGCTGGACAAGAAGCACCTAGATCTACCCCAACCATCCAACGACCACAACATATACACCCTAGGATCCATCGGCAAGCACAACATCGTTATAGCCTGTCTACCGAAAGGCAGGTACGGCACTAATTCAGCCGCAACTGTCGCTACTCAGATGGTACGGACATTCCCATCCATTAAAATTGGCCTCCTGGTTGGCATTGGCGGCGGCATCCCACCTAAGGTCCGACTCGGTGATGTAGTGGTTAGCACACCCGTGGGTGGATTTCCTGGTGTAGTCCAGTGGGACATTAGCAAGACAAAGGACGGCAACTTCGAGCGGACAGGGTCGTTAAATAATCCACCAACATCACTTCTCACTGCCTTGACGGAGCTGGAGACGGAGCATGACTTGAATGGGACAAAAATACCTGAGTTTCTGGACGAGCTAAAGCTGAAGTGGCCAAGGCTGGCACCGAGGTATCTAAAATGTGATTCCTACGAGGACCCTTTGCACATTCACGAGTTCCATCATAGCCAGAGCAGATGGAAAACCATATTGACTCTCTGGGAGATGATCTTGGCACTTGTCACATATCTGTTCGGGTGGCGGGAGTTTACTCCCAGCCAAAGTAGGCCCGAGCAAGTGGCAAGCAATGCAATGGACACTATAGGTGATGGGGGCCAACACAAGCCTAGACATGTTCGCGTGCACTATGGGTTGATCGCATCGGGCAATCAAGTGATCAAGGACGCTATCTTTCGAGATAAACTCGACCGTGAGTTTGGCGGTCACATTCTTTGCGTCGAGATGGAAGCAGCGGGACTTATGAACAACTTCCCATGCATCGTCATTCGAGGAATCTGTGATTATGCAGACTCACACAAGAACAAGGAATGGCAGGAACATGCTGCAACTGTGGCCGCGGCGTTTGCAAAGGAGCTGCTAGAATATGTGCAACCGCCTGATGTTGATGAGTAACGTCCAGTGAAGGAATTTCTTGGCCAAAGTTAGTGGGTTTCAACCTGTCTTGTCAGATGAATATCAGGCTTCTAGTAGAATAACAGAGCAACTACTAGCGACGGGTAGAGTCAACCCGGACTTCAGGGACAGCGATGGGCCAACACCGCTATCATTTGCCTTGCTGAAAGGGCACGAGTCAGTAGTGGAGCGGCTTGTGGCGACAGGTAAAGTCGACCAGGACTCCAAAGGTAGTAATGAGCAGACACCGCTGTCCCTAGCTGCGGAGCATGGGCATGAGGCAGTGGTAATGGTGCTGCTCAATGAATGCGTTGATCTGGAGTCCAAAGACACTCTATGGGCTGAAGCCGCTATTGTTGGCTGCACAGAATGGGCACGAGGTAGTGGTCAGGCTTCTCCTCGAAAAGGGAGCTGATCTCGGTCCAAAGACTTTATATATGGACGGACGCCTTTGTTGATGGCTGCAGGGGACGGACACGAGGCGACGGTTGAGCTGCTGCTCGATATGGAGGCCAAGGCCAAGGTAAAAATGACTGCGGCCGAACGCCATTGTTCTATGCGACTAAATATGGTCATGGCGTGGTAGTGAGAGCCATTCTTTCCAACAGCGTTGTTGACCTGAATCAGACAGACCACTATGGTTCGACACTGTTATCAATAGCGGTACGTAACTCTCATGCGGAAGTGGTAAAGGCCTTAATAGCTACTGAAACCGTTGTGTGTGACTCTCGGGACCATTTTGGACGGACCATATTTTGGTGGGCCAAAAGGTGTGGCAACAAAGATATCGAGAAGATGTTGTTAGATTATGCAAAGAAGAGAGGAATTTCATTTTGTGACAGCGAATATGGTGAGATAACGTTGATATTGCATGACCTGACATTGAGATGGTGTGACGTGCGTACTTTAACCATTCCAAAAGACAACGCCGACTGTCGATGTGGTATCTGCAGCGGAGGAGATTTTGAAATTTGCACAGAGTGCTACGGACTTAGGGGACGTTGTTTGCGAGACGATCATGAAATGACACGGGTAAAGGTTTGATAATATCACTAGTAGATGATAGATCAGGTTTGCGAAGGTCTTAAAAAGAGAGTTTACGAGTAGAGTGGTAGCAGTATTGAATAAACAGCAATATGTCCCAAGCTACAATATTTTGATGGCACCCTTTCGGGCTGCTATCAGACATGTTTCTATCATATCATACAACAGGTACCAATATGTCCCAATATAAAATACCTAAATGAGGTTAGCGCACTATCAAAGGCCCGTGCACCACCATCAGCGAAAACCTCCAAAGCATTTCCTAAATACAACACCAACATCCAAACCACACCATGCCCCGCGTCCCCACAACCAGGGAGGTTGTGCCCGGTGCACCCGTCAACATCATCTTAAAGGCTGACCAACCAACCGGTCGCACCGTCTCGGGCACCATCGCCGACGTGCTCACCCGCGGCAACCATCCCCGGGGCATCAAAGTCCGGCTCACGGATGGCCGGGTGGGGAGAGTGCAATCCATGGGGACCGGGGGTTCGTGCCCTCCACCCGACCCGACACAGGGACAAAGGACAAGAAGGACTACCTCCGAAGCAGAGCTTCCTTCGCAGAATATCGGTCTAGATGCATATATGGTTAGTGCAAGACCGCGGCGGGGTGCACGTCGAGATGAACCTCAACAACCCGTGCTCGATGGTTCGGTAGTGACTTGTCCTGTTTGTGGGGTGTTTGAGGGCGATGAAACTGCTGTTGCGCATCATGTGGCTGGGCATTTTGCGGACTGATGTATTGGGGCTTTTTGGGCTGAGCTATTATTTGAAATGGGCTGATTACAGTTCGGGTCCTTTTGGACGAGTTGAATGTTTGGACCCTGGTAATAGCGTATTATAGATGGAATAAATTACAGCAATGGTTTATTATCAGTATATTTACATTGGCATTACTTTAGTAGAGTTTGATAAGTGCATGAGGTATCACACAGCATATACAGCACGTGCTGCTCGTCATGACATCGCGGATTCATGTGCTCTCCTCCAACGTTTCCGATAACCCACCCATATTGGCGGAAGACAGGCCACGGTCACCGCTAATTACCATTAGAATCGCCGTTTCACGAGAGGAGGACAGCACTAACCAACAACACATTCCACATGGCTCCAAATTGCAAGCCAACGCTATTCGCAACCACATATTAGCCTGAATGATCGCAGACCGCCAAAAAATCATATATGAACGAGATATAAGGCTCCAGACCTGGTTTATTGGGCCTAGGATATTATTTCCTGCCGTAGATGCATGGATTGCTCGGACGAGAGAAGATGCGATCTGATGCTTCGTCAGACATTGATCTCGCCTGTAGTTCTGCAATAGAGGTGAAAAGGGCAGTGTTACGATTATCCACCCCAGCGCGAATATTCCAACAAGACCCGCTTTCTGCTTTTTGGTTGCCGGGAGTTCAAATAGGTGTCGGGTTGGGAGAATGACGACTGTGCGCAAAAGTGTCAGTATGAGATAATTTACTTCACTCTATGGGTCTGCGCATACTCATCACGTCCGATAGAGTGTCTAAGGCTGTCGTGCCATAGAGCTTGCCTGGCTCCCTAGAGATCCCGGAGACGCAATTATCTGTGGTAGGTCAACAAACCATTTACTAGATTAAAACACAAGATGGCTGATGTTCTGCTACCATTGTCGATTGAGAAGTTAAGGCCGAAAGGCAAGCATCCGAAGAACTGTATAAGAAAACACCCGACGAGATTCATTACCGTGAAGCCGAAGACGATATACCAGCTTGATGAAATTGCGTCAGGAGATGGTTAGTTCATCAACACGAAAAGTCGAATGGCATTTTCACAACATACCCTTCCAGATAAACTGGTATTGGCAACATAATTGGCCGAAGAAAGAAAAGCATCGCAAACTTCACGCACCACACCGTAAGCCAAAAGATGATGAGAGAGGCCTTATTTCGTTAGCGGATGTTAACCTGTGCAGGAAACTGTCTACAGAGCAACACTACCTACAAAAGAGTATCGGAGCACCACTGTCACATCTTCTCTCAAAACCGAGCTTTCCGACAGAGCGTGCCCAAAATCTGTGCTGTTTTGCGCTACGTTAAATGCGTCGATATATGGTGAAACAGCGGCCGTGTGGATTGCTGTTCCAACCGAGAGAAGAGCAAATGATGAAAAGGCGAAGTAATCGTCAGCTTTCAGGCGCTCGCGAATAGAAATTCTCGAGATAATACGAAGGGTCATAAAAATCAGGGCAATCAGGTAAAGACCCCAATACAGGACCTGCGCGGAGCAGTACGATTAGCGTTACGGTTCAACTGAGTCAGGACCTCAGGGGTGCCGCTACATAGTCTGGCCATTTCTCCATCCCCCGTCTCCCTTGGTGTTCTCAACAATTGCGCGTACAACAATTCATCTGTAGCTGATGTGATTGCGACAGGGAAACTGTACGATCTCTGTGTTCTTTTGGCTGATCATCTCCGAGACATTGGGGAAATGACAGGGTCTGCACGCATGCCATGACAATTGGCTGTATGTCTGGACTCTGAAGCAGCCACTAGTAGCTTTTAAGTAAAACTGGGGGAACACGATGTCTGGGGAAGCTTAAAATCAGTGGCTTACTACAATCGACATTATTCGCCGAGTCAGCAAGATGGTTGAGAGAATCTGAAAATAATCGGGTTTAGGGGTGGCAAAGCCACATGATGACGCAGCCATCGTTCCTTCGGGCCCATTCTACTTTTGCTCTCAGGGTCAATCGATGAACTACCTGGCACTTCTATGGCCCCTGTTATTTAGGGGATCTTACAGATACTCTGTTCGATGAGAAATTCCTTTCTCAGCGACCAGTGTTGTGGAGACATATTATATCTCCTTCACTGGCATGAAAGCATATTTATCCTGCCACCTTCACCCCAAACAATGCGATCGCTCAGGCAATCAATCCTCCTGCCTTCCAGACGCAATTGAACTAGAAAATGTAGAAGAAGGCAGTCGTAGAAGCTATGTTGCGCATCGCTCCACTGCGTTCTACACGCCGGTCTATTCTCCGAGGTTCGTCTATGGATGCGTCCTGTCAGCATCCATTGGGGGACTTCTCTTCGGCTACGACACCGGAATCATTTCAAGTGCCCTTGTCGTATTCCATAAAGATTTGGGCCATGACCTCAGCAGGGAAGAGAAGCAACTCTTGACTAGTATTACCAGCGGCGGTGCTTTTGTCGGAGCATTGATTGCGGCTCTCACCACGGATGCGGTATGTTGCCTCAATCACCTTGCCAGCTTGAATGTACCCAGAAACGAACCTAACCCTGCTTAACAGATCGGACGAAAAATGGTCCTAGGACTCGGGTGCATCTGGTTCACCGTAGGCTCCGTCGTCGCATCATCCGCATACTCAGTTGCCCTAATGTCCATCGCCCGATTCATCATCGGGGTAGGCATGGGCCTTGAAACCATGGTACTCAGAACACCCTACTCCCTCATAATACAGTCCCTAAGACAATCCACAGGTAACACCACTCTACATCTCTGAGCTCTCTCCTGCCTCCCGCCGTGGCCGCATGATCACCGTCTACTCGCTCGGAGTAACAGGCGGCCAAGCCCTCGCGTACGCAATCGGCTCCATATTCAGCCTCGTCTCGCAAGGCTGGCGCTATATGTTCGCCTTCGGCGCCATCCCAGCCCTAATCCAAGTCGCGCTGTTCCCCATCTACCCCGAAACGCCCCGCCACCTCATCTATCGGAACCAAACAGCAGACGCCATAATGGTGCTGCAGCAAATCTACCCACAGGCACCCCCTTCCGACATCCAGACCCTCGTCCAAACCATCCAAGACGACGTCAATCGCTCCATCTCCTTCGACCAGGGCATCCGGCGCGCATGCTGGTCCTGGAAACAGCTGCATACCGTCCCCTCGCATCTCCGATCGCTCATCACAGCCTGCGGCCTCATGGCGCTGCAGCAGCTCTCCGGCTTCAATTCGCTGATGTACTACTCCGCCACGCTCTTCAACATAATGGGCTTCTCGAAACCCATCGAAGCGGGCCTGATCGTCTCCGGGACGAACTTCCTCTTCACGGCCCTCTCACTGAAATTCGTAGACCTGGGTCGTCGGCGCCTGCTGATCGGCACCGTATGGGGGTTACCAGTTGCGCTGGCGATGGCGGCGGGCGCGTTCTCGAAGATCCACATCGACACGAATCTAGAGCTCATGGCCACGCCGCCGCTGTGGGCGAAGATCCTTGCCATCGTTTCGTTTGCGGTGTTCGTGGCTTTTTACGCGATCGCGTTGGGCAATGTGCCATGGCTCGCTAATGAGTTTCTGGCGCTGGAAGTCAGGGCCGTCGGGACGGCTATGTTGACTATGGTTTGTTGTACGTGGGGTTCCTTTCTTCCTTCCTTGGTTCTTGCGAGCACAGTGGCGTGACATGCTGACTGGTTCATGATAAGGGGGCTCGAATATTCTTGTCTCGGCTACTTTTCTTTCTCTGGTGAGTGCGATCTCGGCGTCCGGTACGTTTGGGCTCTATGCTGGGGTTTGCTTCGTTGGGTGGGTGTTTATTATTTTCACGTATCCGGAAACGGCGGGGTTAGGGCTGGAGAGTGTGCGACAGGTGTTTGAGCATGGGTTTGGTGTTCGGTATGCGAATCAGCTGCAGGGGCTGCGGTGGATAGATGCAGAGATGTGAGCTTGTCATTTTTGTTTGTCGATGTATATAATTTTCATGTTGCTGTAGAACTCTCTACGAAAGGCTTTATTTGCTTTCTTTGAGAAACCTGGTGTTGCTATATCAGGGGCGTGTTCAACTCGTGATAAGAATCATATTGATTGTTCGTGCCAATATATGGTTAACATTGATGGATGAAACTTCTCCAAGTATCTAGCGTCCAGTCATGATATGCACCAGTGCCAAATTCCATGTAATCATCAACAAAACGCCTACGTGAATATATGTCATTTCCTTTCCAATAGGGCTGGGGGTCAGTGCAGCCATCCCTGTCGGTAAATATGCGTACATCGACATGTTGGCTGATTTTTTATGTATTAATCTCTGCGGTGGGTATCGATAGCCATACCGTCAGATAATGTGAACAAGATTGAAATTCCAAAATCGCGAAGTAGATCCCAAATTTTTGAAACACTTTACCGCGCAAGGGATTCTGGCATCCAGAATCGACCGCTGTCAAGGACGCTATTCAAGTCGATATGATCCATGGTTGGTCGCAAGCCAAGGTCCATCACGTCGCGCGCGACAGCCTTGATCTGGCGGACGATGGCCTGGGAAATGGCCCACGTACGGCCGAGAGACTTGAAGACCCCGATCGTGAGCGTGAGTCGGTCTCGACTCGGATCGGGCATTTGTCCGGCTTTCACGGAGCAGGCAGCCAGCTGCACAATAGAGCTCATTACTAGAGCACAGATAAAGAAAGGAGTGTGTTTCACGACTGGCATGCGAATAGACGCCAACGAAGAAATTTCACTGGCCGCCTTCACAGCCTTCATCGCATGTGCATGATGCGAGAACGCAGGAATGCTGCAAGGGCCATGATGGCCACAGATGACTTCCGCAGCCATCGCCGGCGACGACAGCAGATCGGATCTTGGGAAGTGAAGGTAGATCGCCGCACCGTTGACGACCATGGTCGCCTGAAACATCATCTCATCGACCGATCCATCCGAACGCAGCAACTCAGATTTAGATTCCGGCAGGTGGTGGAACCAACTGGTGATCCGCGCGTCGATAGCTTCCACATGGTCCTGCTGGCCTTCCACCATGTCTTGTATAGACACCACTCGCCCAAGGATACGAGCTGCTTCAATACGGTATGTGAAAGAGGAGAAATCTCTCTCCTCATCGGCGAATACACGTTCATCGAACTGCGCAATGGTCGGGGCAGGTGGTGGGACCAATCCGTCCTGATATATACGTTCCTCACAGGGCAGCCCGACCTCCGGCACCACCAGACCCGTGCGAGCGGTTCGCTGGAGTCCAAGTGCAGTCAGCATGTTCTCGATAATGTACAATTCCCACCACGTACGCCTCAAGCTCTCCTCTCGCATCGGGTCACCTTCGTTCATTGTCGTTGCGTAGCTGTGATTGTTTAGGCCCAATTCAAAGGCGATATCTACAGCCGTAGCCAGACACTCTCCAGCCTCGGGTCGCTCGTTGCGCGAATGGAGTACAATGGCCAGTAGCAGAAGCGCCTGAAGCTTCTCTATACAGGAATCCTGCTTCATGACGGACGACATTACGTTGGGTCGGTAATTTTCGCTGGAGGCGGCCGGGGTAAAGTGTGAACCGATAAACTTGATGACATGGTCGAGGTATGGTGGGACGTATGAGCGATACAGATAACGAAGGGGAGGTAAAATGGGATGGGACGGATGGAAATATGTGTAGTAAATATCGATCAAATAGCCATCACCGGGGACGGTGGACGAGGAGTCCGGGGTAAGCGGCTCGTTGTGTAATGGGACGGGTTGCGAGGAGCTGGACTTCTCGGTCAAGCCGGGGCTTCCCGAGGATGGGGTCGTCAAGGTGGCGGTTGGCATGTACTGGAAGCCGTTCTGCAGGCCGTTCCAGTCGGGAGGAATGTTGACCAAGCCAACCGACTGGGGGTCAAAGGAGGCCGCCAGATCGTCGGCCGTTTCATCGGGGGACGGGTTGGCACGGCGTTTCTTTGACGGACCTTTGTACCCGCGGCGCGAAGGAGTATATTGGCACTCTGATCCGGTGGCCGCACAGCGGCCACACACAGGAGTTTTCCCGTCACATTTAAGATGCTTATGCCGGCAGAGGAGGCAGGCCAGGAGCGAAGGGCCAGCCTTCGGAGGCCCCGGGTTTTTCGTCGCGATAAATGGTTCGTTCATCGTGAAGAACTAGCTAGAAGCATGAAATTGATCAAATTTGCTAGTTAAATCCGCCGATATGATTGAGGAATGGGATAAACAGAAATCAATTAGCTCCAGCACCAATTGATGAATAATGAAAGAAGAGGTGACACTTTGTGTAATTGTGGCGTGAGGCGGGGAATCAAATCACTTTTTTTTGGTTGGGGATGGGAAAGTTGACCAACACACAAAGAGATGGGGAAAAGGGGCGGATGGAGGGGGAAGAAAAGGAAGGGAGTACAAGAACTGAAGGAGAGACTCGGAGATGCACAAGAAATAGGGACCACCAGAGAAAGGGAAGAACAGGTGATGAAGATAAAGAAAAGAAAGAAAAGAATCATTAGTCAGGGGAGGAGAAGGTCGAACATGGAATATACAAAAGCTCTCCAATCAGATGCGAACCTGGCCTTAGCGCTGTTGTACTTTTTTTTGGGGCAAAGCAAGCTGTATGTATGTATGAAGGTATGGTTACGAGGTGCAGCCCATGGACAACGGCGTGTATCTTACACCACAACGCACATATCGTCCTCCCCCCACACACACACACACACTCGGCCGAAGATTTGCTCCAACAATGCGATATGGTGGATATAGAGGTTAAATTGTACCCGGATCAATCACATCGGAAGACCTCAAGTGAAACATGGAAAATAGTCCAAAAAACCAGTTGAAGAGCAACTCCGACCAACTTCACAGCGTCAGAATGTCAGAAGGACCTTGAAACGGGTTTCAGATTAGTCACCCGTCGCTGACGGATCCCATCCGTTGACGCCTCAGGTACCCAAGCCTAACTCAATGAGGAACCAACAAACAGGTGTCACTTGCGACCGGCCGATCTCGACCTCCGCCCAGCGACCTAGGTACAACAAGTACATACTATCAACTCCCTCTTCCATATCTATCAACCGCCCGCCCCCCATTGGAGCTTGGTCCTTCATACCCACTTGGAGCTCAAAAGGCAGGTCTTTCATAATGTACCAGCACCCCTGCACCACTATCAATGCTATCCAAACTGCAACGATGATCCTACAATAACTGGTTACTGACGTGGCTTCTATAGTAGCAACCACGCCGGCTTCGTCTTGCGACGCATCATACCGACCATACATTCCCTTCGTTCTCGAAGAAATCAATTGACCTTGCTTTCTCCTTATACTCCCGGTTTATAACTCCCCCAACCATCAAAATGATTTCCGACGACGATCTCCACCGTCTTGCCGTCTTTCTCGGCTCCTGCGCGATGATGATGATTGTTCTCTACCACTTCCTCGAAGTCAATGCCAAAGATACTGGAGTTGAGGGGGCAAGTGAAGGGAAGAAGCCGGCCGCTGCGTCTCAGGAGTCAGTTGCTGCTAGCCCTTCGACAGAACCCGCAGCGGTTGCGGGCGGTTCGTCAGCCATCGGAGAGAAAGACCGGTAGTGGCTATCTTCTTCATTTCTCTTAGCGTATTTTCTTTCTTTTCTCGTTTTGATACGGTTTGCCCTTGGTTGCGGTGGTGAAGACGGCACAGGCGCGACGATGATGGATACCCCTATGGCCTAGGTTGGAGCGATAGATACCAGCAAGGACAAGCCAGTACATGATCCCCATGGATGTGATTACGTTGGTCCCTGAAATGCATCACTATTGCGCAACTCATTAGGCGATTAAGTCTTCTAGCGATGGTAAACCGCCTTGGAAAGGGGTTAAAAAAATAATGTACACAGAATATTGGAATCGCAACCAGCCGAACGCCACTTCCTGGAATCGGCACCAACTCTGTGCGATGTAGGATAGGATACGATTCCAAGAGATGCAATGGGGTATCACGCGTATGTTCTAACTATCGATTTTCACTTCGTAGACATCCTCCTCGTTGCTCACTCTCTCATTCCGGGCGGGAGTAGCCAACTGACATCCGCCGGGATCCAACCCAACACCAATCTGTTCTTTGAGCCTCTGGACCGCCTTGAAGATTCCCTGGGCCTTGTCACGCTGTGTATTATGCCCATGCACGAGATTAAATGCTCGGATTGAAGTTTGATGAGCTGGAAAAATAAGCGAATCCTCGCCGCCCGCTATATGGGACTCTGGGATAGTCGAGGGAACCGGGCTGTGACCAGCTGTACCTTGAACTAAAATCATAAATCAAGTATTAATAGTCAATCTTCTAGATCAAAGATCACGTTGAAAAGCAATCAGCCAGATGCTTTCTCACCAGTTCCAGGCACTGATGGTCCATCACCTAACTTCCAGGCAATGGAATCAAGATGAGCACCTCGAATGTGCTTCACT